CCGCCGACTATCATGTTAATGACTGGCTTTTGACGCCACTGGGCCTCATCCTCTTCAGTGGCCGACCGCTTGCCGCGGCTATTCTCGGCGGCGACCGCGGGATCATCGTCCTCTCGTGCTACTGACCTTCGCCTCCACTGATTAGGAGGCGGGGTCCCTTGCGGGATAATTCCTTCCATGACCTTTTTCAAGTAGAAGCACTCTTCCGTACTATGAGTGTAAGACTTATGATAGCGGCAGTACTTAGAGTTCTTACCTGTCTCTTCACTCGCCATACGCTCGTCGATCGGCGGGGGCGGAGGCGGAGCGACCGCTTGAACCTCGTGCATCGGGTGCTGAGGAACCGCTCGGTAGGGATGGACCATAGGCTTGTCATAGGGACGTCTAGCCTCGGGTCGCCGAGCCCCCTCCGGGCGCCTTTCCTTGGTTTTCCGCGCGAGTCCTCTTTCCGCCGACGGATCCTCCGACTTCGCGTTGTCGCTTATGCTTCATGGCATGCTCCGTGTTAGCCCTTTTATTGGCCATGTGTATGGCTTCTGCGTAGGTAGTCGGGCGGGATCGTAAAGACTCGATGAAAAAAGTGAGTGCGGTCTGATCTTCGACCTCCTCGATAGACTGAATCTCCTTTTGCCATCAAACCAAGTAGGCTTTCAGGGACTCGCCTTCCTCTTGGTGGACATCTCCCAGGTGAGTTAGATCCTTCTGTGGCTTGATGTTTGCTGCGTAATGGCTCATGAAGCGGTCGACTAACTCCTCGAAACTGTGAATCGATTTAGGAGGCAGCGCCACTAACCACCTTTGTGCCGAGCCTTTCAGAGTGGGCAAGAAGGCGCGACACATCACCGGGTCTCGCACTCCCAAGACCTGCATTTTGGCTTGATAGCTAAGCAGATGCTCGCGTGGGTCTCCGGATCCGTCGAAGGTGGCTTGTTCCGGAAATTTGAAGTCGCCGGGTACTTTGCAAGACATGATCTCAGAAGAGAATGGCAAAGCGGTGAGCAACGTCTGCCCGGGGGATTTGGTCTTTCCCCCCATTTGTTCTTTCAGATCTCGTACCTCTCGGGCCAATTGGGCCACGTCGCCTTCATTGCGAGTGTGGTTTTCTGTGGATTCCGTACTTTCGCCGACCTCGGATTCAGCCGGTCGGTCATCGTTGCGCGTTACGCGCTCGGTCCGTCGTGTCCGAGTCTTAGTTCTCCTGGTGCGAGCTCTTCCCCGGCCGGTTTCCCGATCTCGGGGCCCTGCTGGTGCGCGGTTGGGCTCCCTTTCTCCTAGTCGTTCTCGTGCAGGCTGCCGCCCAGCATTCGGACCCAGCCTTGAATGGACTGATCGTACTGGCTGGCTCTCTGCCCGTCGATTTTTCTGTCCGTCTTCCGGCCTCTGGGACGGTTGTTGATGGCGAGGCATCGGTCGAGAAACTGACTGCTCCCTCAGTCCTCGACTTGGTGTTGTTCCGGGGTGAGGGGTATAATGGGCAGCTGCCGGTTCAACGGTGCCGTTTCGTTTCCTTGACTTTGAGCATTTCGTTGGTTCAATTGCTCTCTTAGATCTGCCTCTATTCCGCCGTTTTGGTTGTTCGCCTGGTCTCGTCCTTCCGACATGTTCGTGACGCTTCTTCGGTCGACTCTAGGACTCGCCTTGCTCAGAGAGTCACGTAGCTCTTTGTTTCGATCCCAACAGATGGCGCCAGTGTTGGTTTCTGGGTTTTCGGGCCCAAGGAGGTCCAACACAACCTTTGGTTGGTGGATTCACCTTTCTTAAAAAGTGATCGCAAAGATGGATAATCGAGTCTCTAGGAAGTGTGTGTGTATATTCTCTGGGCATGGACTCGCCCTCCTTTACAAGTGTGGAGGGGCCTTTATATAGTAGGCTCCCCTCCATCCGAATTGAAATACATTAAACATTGCTTTCAAGGCTAATTACACTATAAGACCGTTCGATCGCTGTTACCGAGTCGACCAACGGCTCTTTGGCCTCTTAACGGCCCTTCTGACCGAGTCCTCTTGAATGCCGCATTGAGTGTTCCCTCAACGGTTCCTAGACCGACTTGAATGCTTCTTACCGGCTCCTGAACCGAGTCTTGGGCCTGGGCCGACTCCTGGATTCGGCCCAGGCCACCATCGGGCTTCTTCTTTTACTAACCCTTACCTCCTATCTTGGGCTCCATCTCTCTTGGGCCCTTCTCTCTTGGGCCCTTCTTTTTGGACCGGGGTCCTCACCCCATCACCTATAAATTTAGAAAAAAAAAAATAGAATTAACTCTTCTATTTTATAAAGCAACGTTAAACAACCCAAAAAAAGAATTAAGGGTGTGTTTGGTTCGCACATGAGAATCGGAATTGGAATGGGTATCAAATATTTGGTAATGGTAATGAGTTTTAGTGAAAGTATCTTGCATGTTTGGTAGTAGGGTGGAATGCAAATGATTATCAATAATGCTGTTTGGTTATGTATGATCCAATAATGGGAATAAAGATTTTAAAAATACAAGAATACAAAATCAAGACAATTGATTCTAATATAAAGACATATAAAACATTAATATGAACAAAAAAATAAAAATAAAAATCTAAAAGCACTAATCAAATGAGATGAGAAGAAATAAAGGAATGATACACTTATTTTATTTGGATACGGATTTTTCAATTAAGGGAATATTTGAAACCTATAGTAGTGTTCTAAAAATTTATCAACAAAACAATATCAATATCTTTAATACCTATTCTTTAGAGTTAAACCTGCCAACCAAACACAGTCTAATTATCAAACATTTCGTCTTAGGGTCCGTTTGGAAAGGAGGAAAATGACTTCTGGAAAATGATTTCTGGAAAATGAGTCATTTTCTGGAAAATATTTTCCTTTCCCAGTGTTTGGTTGCATTTGAAAAAACTGTTTTGGTGTGTTTGGTTCATTTTCTGGAAAATGTGTAGAATTATATAATTAAATATTTTAATTATTTTATTTAGAATATAAAAATACATTTTATATGTTTGAAACTAAAAAAAAAAAAAAAAAAAAAAAAGTTCAGACACTCGTTTGGTTTCCGCCGGAAACCATAGCTATGGTTTCCATGGTTTCCGGCGGAACCATAGCTATGGTTAGAAACCTTTAAAAAAAAAAAAAAAAAAAAGAAATAGCAATGGCGAAAAATGACTTTCGTCAAATTTTGACGGAAGTCATTTTTAATCGAAATGAGCACATTTTTTTCAGTCAACGAAAAATATTTTTCGTTGACTGAATTTTCTAAGTATTGCCAAACACTAAAAATTCGAAAAATAATTTTCAGAAATTTTTTTTCAGATTTTCAAACACAGCCTTAGATTAGAACTTAGAAGTGTTGGTGGTACACTACTGGTACTTTGATCCAATTCCAACAACTAACGATCCACAGTTTCCTCGCGCTTGAGGTGCAAGAAAGGCAGAAAGCGCGTGGGAAATGACAGCGACTCCAATAGTATGTGGCGAGCCGCCATGACTTGGGGATAAGGACATCGTACCACGTGTTGAAACGCCAGCTCTCACTGTTTTGGTCCCACTTGCATGAAATTCTCCGCATCATCAGGCCCCTCAACTTTTCACTATTTTCACTTATCCCCCAAAACAAATCCTCCACCTTATCAGGACTTTTTTACTCGAAATTCCGAAGCCGAAAAACAGCAGTGCACCCTGTTTGTAGGCGGCAGGCCTCATTTATTTAATTATTTTATTGCCCACAACTTTTAGGGGTTTTATATACTAAGCACATGGATGAAATCGATTCTGTGAGAAGTTCAAACTTTAGCCGCACGTAGTATTATTAGTAACTTACGAATATTCTCTTTTAACAAAGAAAGTTGTAGTACGGGTTGAAAACTCATAGAGTGTTTTGGTAAATAGTTGTTAACTGATTGAATTAATGAATTTAACTAGTTGATAACATTAATTGATTGCATAAAAATATTTTATAAATTTATTAACTGATAGTTGATTATATGTAAAATGACTTTCTCAAAAAGTTGATCGAAAAAGCTGTTTTAAGTAACTTTTTAAATTTTAACATTTTAAAATAATAAGTCGCTATAAAAAATTAATTAATCAAACACTAATATTAATTATTTAACCAAATCAAACAGCTAATTAACACAATCAAATACGCTGAAATTGATTAATGTAACTATGTAAGACCAAATTTACAGGATTCATGCATTACCACTCCCCTTGACTAATTATCAATATATTATTTTCATAGTCCAATTTTACTTGTTTAATTAAGTTTAATATGATCAAGTTTAAAATATCAACTACTATGCAGTGTGATAATATCTCTGTTATTTTTAATGAATGGTTAATGGATCGAACTTTAAACGTGGGAGCAAATATATTTATTTTTTTATGTTTTTAACTCGGCGGTGGAGCAGATATATTTATTTTCTATATTTTTAACTCGATGGTGGAGCAAATATATTTATTTTGTATGTCTTTTATGTAACACAGATTTTCAACTTCATCGCACTATGCTCTGAACTCTAGAATCCAGTCTTAGACTCATAAGATGATAAATTTAACCAATTTAACTTTAAAATTCAACATCAAACTATATACACCTGTGCACAAAGAACTCAATTCAAACCCAAATCTCCAATATTCGTGACAAGAGTTGAACCCAGCCGACCACTAACAAAAATCTTAAGTGCGACTTTTCATCGAATAACCCAATTTTTATATTTTCTGATCTAATTATATATTTTTATTTACTTATATACTATTTTGACCAATCAACTAATATCTCACACGGAGAGTAATTCGTTTGTCATGTTTAATCTTCCTACTAATTGAGAGTAGGAAGCGAAATGTGAACAAAATAAAAAAGAGAGGGGGCAGAAGTGAGATTAAAGAAAGTTAAAGGATGAAGTTCCCAATAAAAAAGAAACAGCCTATTCTGAGACTACCCAGGATACCACTAATTTGGAAACCACTTGCGGCGCCCCTTATAAGCCCACCCCCCCATTTATATAACCTCTCAATCACCCATTTCTCCTCCCCCAAAAAGATCTTCTCTCTTCAAAGTTCAAAATCCAAAATCCAACATTGTATATACATACATACATTCAGCTATGCGGATGAGCTGTAACGGGTGCCGGGTTCTCCGGAAAGGTTGCAGTGAAAAATGCTCCATTAAACCTTGCCTCCAGTGGATCAAATCCCCCGACGCCCAATCCAACGCCACCGTGTTCCTTGCCAAATTCTACGGCCGCGCCGGCCTCCTCAACCTCATCAACGCCGGCCCCGAACACCTCCGCCCTGGTTAGTACTAAGCACTGTTGCAAAAATTGACCTAGGCGCCGATTAGACCTTAGGCACCCTAAGTCAGAGAATTTTACCTTTTAATAGACTGACTAGGCAGCCTAGGTGCTGGACTAATTGGCACCTAAATACCCTAAGCCGAGAGAATTTTACCCTTCAGTCGACTGACTAGACTGCCTAGGTGCTGGACTAGTCGGCTAACTCGGCGTCTGAGTTGATCAAATTAGGTGTTCGAGCCGGCCAACTTGACGCCTAAGTTGATCAAACCAGGTGTTTGAATTGGCCAACTAGTCGGCCAAGTTTGCCTAAGTCGATCAAATTATGTGTCCAAACTCGGCCAATTCGACGCCTAACTCAATCATTTGTTTTTTTTGTGTGTTATTTTTCTTATTATTATTATTCGATACTTTAAACGTTAGTTGACCCTGAGGCCGGACTAACACCTAGTGCCTTCTATAACATTGGTAATAAGCATAAATAAATGCAAATGTTATATTCCCGGATAAAGTACAACTTTTGATGCGTGGAGTACACCTGGAGTAGAAGCTGATTTTCTGTTTGTTTGTTTGATTGATTTATTGCAGCTATATTTAGATCGTTGTTATACGAAGCGTGCGGGCGGATTGTGAATCCGATATATGGATCGGCGGGGTTGTTGTGGTCGGGAAACTGGCAGCTCTGTCAGGCGGCGGTGGAGGCCGTTCTCGGCGGCGCGCCGATTACGAAGCTATCCCCTGACTCCGCCGCCTTTTCCATGAGCCCTTCGCTCAAGGCGTGCGACATCCGGCACGTGTCCAAAGAGGACAACGCCAACGCCGGCGCCGGCGCCGGCGATCTTCACAAGGTTAAGTCGCGAGGGCGGTTCAAGAGAACGGCGGCGGGGAAGCCGAAGCAGAGGGCGGGGTCGCCGGACGTGGACGACGCGGCGCGAGTGATGTGGAGCTGGAGTCACAAGGAGGAGGAGGATGCGGTGGGGTCCCCCAGCCGGGACTCGGGGCTGAGTCAGCACGCCGAGGAGCAGAGCCGCGGCGGAGAGAGCGGCGATGCTAACTGCGCGTCGGGGGAGACGGTTGAGACCTCGCTGGCGAAGCCGGAGGATGAGAGCGATGTTGAGTTGGAGCTAACTCTCGGGTGGGAGCCGATGTCGAGACACTGGAAATCGACGCCGGCTGGGATGAGCGAAGACGCCGGCGGGTCTGATGAAGCCGCGTGTAGAATGGAACTGTAATTACTCCAAAGACTGTTTTTGACGACCATTTTGTATGGTTTTTCCATTTAATTTCTTTTTTGGACCCTAGATTTAAAATTTTGTATTTTGTTTAGGTCTCAAATTGTTGGTGATAGAGATGTAATACCTTAGGCAGTGTCAATGTCATCAAAGAGTCATAAAGAAGTGAACATAGAGAAATGATGGTTTCCTTTCAATCCTTCCTTTAATCAGGAATGCCAACCACCGTCTAAATTTTATTTAATTACCTCTCTTTGATTTACTGAAAAGAGTAAAAGGTGGTAGGCGTTACCTAGGAACGTCCATTTAGGTTGTTCAGAATAAGTGTTTTAGGTAAATTTCACCTAAATTGTCTATGGATATAATCTGTCTGTTTCTTAAGTAACGTCTATCTAAGTTCTTCATATTTAACCAACTTAGAGATGTCAATCCAATTAGGTTGTTCATAGATGTGGTTCTATCGTTTTGATGAGATAGCAAAGCAAATGGGTTGCTTCATGAGCCCATAGTTAACTCATAGATGTAGTTCTACAGTTTTGATGAGACCGCAAAGCAAATGGATTGGTTGACGTAGAATTTATGTGCAGCTCAACTCTGCCTACACTAGTATTGAACTGCACATTCGTTACACTTGTACAAGAAAATCCGCTACGCTTGTACAAGTGTAGCAAAAGTGCACATTCGCTACACTTGTACAAGGAAATCCACTACGCTTGTACAAGTGTAGCAGAAGTGGGTAACGCAGTAAGGCCTAAGCTTTCCATGGCACTTGAGCATTAAAGCGACTTGATCATTGATAATGATTTAGTCTCGTTTAACCAAGCCATACAACGTAATAATTCTCAAGAGAATTATTTTAGCTTTGGTGATTCATTTTGATCTTGAACTTCACCAAATGGTTGTTAAAACTGCCTCTCTGAATGGTAAATTAAAAGAGGAGGTATGTATGAATCAACCGCACGCAAAACTTCATGGCCACATGAAAAGAAAAATCTGGTTCTTAGGAAAGTGTCCCGAATTCTTTTCAGTCTCGTTTAATCAAGCTATACAAGGTAATAATTCTCAAGAGAATTATTTTGACTTTGGTGATTCAATTTGATCTTGAGCTCCACCAAATGGTTGTTAAAACTGCCTTTCTGAATGGTATATTAAAAGAGGAAGTATGTATGAATCAGCCGCAAGATTTACTTGCCACATGAAAAGGAAAATCTGGTTCGTAGGAAAGAGTCACGATTTTTTTTTTTTTTTTTTTTAAATTATACACTTTCCGTTCCGCGAGAGTGTAGCATATTCATTTTTTAAATGCACTACAAAGTGTTTGAAAATGCACCATTAGGTGTTGTGCAGTGCGGTGCACTTTTTGGGTGTGTGGTCCATTGATGCATTTTATTGTGGTGCATTTTCGAACACTGTGTGATACATTTTTACATACCTAAGGGTGAATCCGCACCGGTAGCACGAGAAGTACTGTTCGCATTTGTCAGTATATATATATATATATATATATATATATATATATATATATATATATATATATATATATATACATATATATACACACACACACACACACACACACACACACACACACACACACACACACACTAATAAGAGCTCAAGAAGGTTAGGCCTATAATGGATAGAAAAAATGACGGTCAAATTTTTTAGTCAAATGAATGGCTTAGATTGATCAGATTTTAATTTTATATTGAGATTTCCTTAAATACCCACACACAGTTACTTCATCCGTTAATAATTTAAGAGTCGTCGTTAGTTCACCGTTAAGTATACCTCTTACGCCAAACCTCGCCAGTCATTGTTCAGAAGGAATTTAGCCCTTGCGCCAAACCTCACCGGTCATCATTCAAAAGGAATTTAGCCATTGAGTTAAACCTCGCCAGTCATTGTTCCAAAGGAATTTAGTCATCAACGTTTAGCCAAACGTCGTCAAATCGCAAGGATATCGCGATTTTTCAGCCAGACTCCTCCTTTTGTTCATCGTTCACAAGGAATTTAGTCATCAAGGTTTCGCCAAACCTCGCCAAATCGCAAGGATATCGTAGGTTTTTTAATTTTTGCTGTGTTCCTTATGTTTTCTCTTCTTCAATCCTCTTTGATTTTGCTAAAGGTTTCGCCAAACCTCGCCAAATCGCAAGAATATCGCAGGTTTTTATATTTTTGCTGTGTTCCTTATGTTTTCTCTTCTTCAATCCTCTCTGATTTTGCTAAAGGTTTCGCCAAACCTCGCCAAATCGCAAGGATATCGCATGTTTTTTATTTTTTGCTGTGTTCCTTATGTTTTCTCTTCTTCAATCCTCTCTGATTTTGTTAAAGGTTTCGCCAAACCTCGACAAATCGCAAGGATATCGCAGGTTTTCAAATTTGCTAAGGTAACTGATCGATATTTCTCTTATGCAATGTAGTTTTTAAATGCAAAAGTTGTTAATATTTGTGTGCCAACCTTCTATTTAAAATAGTGCTGTAGTGCATGCCGCAAAATTGATGCAAAGCATCTTCATTTGATAGTTCAATTTGGATAGAAAACGTAAAACCCTTTCCATATTAAGAAGGTGACGGTGCTTTCGTTCTACAGCCCCATTTTGTTGCAGAGTGTTAGGACAACTAAACTGTTGTAAAATTCCATATTGTAATAAAATATTTTGAAAAGCAGTTTGTGTAAATTCTGCACCGTTGTCAGATCTAAAATTTTTAACACTAAGTATTAAAATGATTTTTAACATATGCCAAAAAATTAACAAGCAATAGATAAGCATCAGATTTAAACTTCATCAAATAAGTCTGATGGGGTGAGGACCCCGACCCAAGAAGAGGGGCCCACGAGAGAAGAGCCCAGGAGAGAAAAAGCCCAAGATAGAAGACAAGGGTCAGTAAAAGAAGGAGCCCGATGAGGGCCTGGGCCGGGTCCAGGAGTCGGTCCGGGCCCAAGCAAGGAAGGAGACTCGGCCCAGAGGCCAGTAAGAAGCATTCAAGTCGGTCTAAGAGCCGTTGAAGGAACACTCAATGCGGCATTCAAGAGGATTCGGTCAAAAGGGCCGTTAAGAGGCCAAAGAGCCGTTGGTCGACCCGGTAACAGCGACCGAACGGTCTGATAGTGTAAATAGCCTTGAAAGCAGGGATTAATGTACTTCAATTTGAATGGAGGGGAGCCTGCTATATAAAGGCCCCCTCCACACTTGTAAAGGGGAGGCGAGTCCATGCCCAGAGAATAAAACACACACACTTTCTTATCATCCGACTACTCATCTTCGCGATCACTTTTTGAAAGGTGAATCCACCAACCAAAGGTTGTGTTGGACCTCCTTGGGCTCGAAAACCCAAAACCCAATACTGGCGCCGTCTGTGGGGATCGACACAAAGAGCTACGTGACTCTCTAAGTAGGGCGAGTGCCGAAGTCGAACGAAAAAGCGTCATAAACATGTCGGAAGGACGAGATCAAGCAAACAACCGAAACAACGGGATAGAGGCAGATCTAAGAGATCAGCTGAACCAACGAAATGCTCAAAGTCAAGGAAACGAAACGGCACCGGTGAACCGGCAGCCGCCTATGATACCCCTCACCCCGGAACAACTCCACGCGATCGGACGAGCCTTCGCCGACGCGAGTCGAGGAGTGAGGGAACAGTCGGTTTCTCGGCCGATGCCTCGCCATCAACAACTGTCCCAGAGGTCGAAAGACGGGCAGGAAAATCGACGGGCAGAGAGCCAGCCAGTACGATCAGTCCATTCAAGGTTGGGTCCGAGTGCTAGACGGCAGCCTGCACGAGAGCGACTAGGAGAAAGGGAGCCCAGCCGCGCACCAGCAGGGAGCCGAGATCGAGAAATCGGTCGAGAAAGAGCTTGCACCAGGAGAACTAAGACGCGGACACGATGGACCGAGCGCGTAACGCACAACGATGACCGACCGGCCCAATCTGAGGTCGGCGAAAGTACGGAATCCACATGAAACCACACTCGCAATGAAGGCGACGCGGCCCAATTGGCCCGAGAGGTACGAGATCTGAAAAAACAAATGGGGGGAAAGACCAAATCCCCTGGGCAGGCGTTGCTCAACGCTTTTCCGTTCTCTTCCGAGATCATGTCCTACAAAATACCCGGCGACTTTAAATTTCCGGAACAAGCCACCTTCGACGGATCCGGAGACCCACGCGAGCATCTGCTTAGCTATCAGGCCAAAATGCAGGTCTTGGGAATGCGAGACCCGGTGATGTGTCGCGCCTTCTTGCCCACGCTGAAAGGCTCGGCACAAAGGTGGTTAGTGGCGCTGCCTCCTAAGTCGATTCACAGTTTTGAGGAGTTAGCCGACCGCTTCATGAGCCATTATGCGGCCAACATCAAGCCACAGAAGGATCTGACTCACCTGGGAGATGTCCATCAAGAGGAAGGCGTGTCCCTGAAAGCCTACTTGGTTCGATGGCAAAAGGAGATTCAGTCTATCGAAGAGGTCGAAGATCAGACCGCACTCACTTTTTTCATCGAATCTTTACGATCCGACCAGTTGTATCGGGAGCTGCGGGATAACCGCCCGACTACATACGCGGAAACCATACACATGGCCAATAAACGGGCTAACACGGAGCAGGCCATGAAGCATAAGCGACAACGCGAAATCGGAGGATCCACCGGCGGAAAGAGGACCCGCGCGGAAACCAAGGAAAAGCGCCCGGAAGGGGCTCGGTGACCCGAGGCTAGACGTCCCTATGACAAGCCTATGGTCCATCCCTACAGAGCGGTTCCTCAGCACCCGGTGCACGAATTTCAAGCGGTCGCTCCGCCTCCGCCCCCGCCGATCGACGAGTGTATGGCAGGTGAAGAGACAGGTAAGAACGCTAAGTACTACCGCTATCATAAGTCTTACACCCATAGTACGGAAGAGTGCTTCTATTTGAAAAAGGTCATGGAAGGAATTATCCAGCAAGGGACCCCGCCTCCTAATCAGTGGAGATGAAGGTCAGTAGCACGAGAGGACGATGATCCCGCGGTCGCCGCCGAGAGTAGCCGCGGCAAGCGGTCGGCCACTGAGGAGGACGAGGCCCAGTGGCGTCAAAAGCCAGTTATTAACATGATAGTCGGCGGACCAGAGGGCGGCGACTCGGCAAATACCAGAAAGGCCTGGGCTCGACAACTATACGTCGGAACAGTATATGGGCGAGAAGAAAGCTTGAAGAAAGTGTGCCGAGAACCGATCACATTTACTGACAAAGATTTGCCCACAAGAGAGACACCGCATCGAGACGCGCTAGTCATAGCGATGGATGTAAACGGAGTGGTTGTTCGGCGGATCCAGGTCGACACCGGAAGCAGTGTCAACGTGCTATACCTTGAGACTTTCACGAAGATGGGATTGACTCGAGAACAGCTGAATCCAGTCAAGACGCCACTCGCCGGTTTCACGGGAGACTCGGTGGAAGCGGAGGGGTCCATCACCCTACCAGTGGAAGTCGGCAGCTATCCCGACGTACAGCAGCTCAGCATGAAATTCATTGTGGTAAACTTAGTTTGCTCACACAATGCTATACTCGGCAGACCAGGCCCGGAGGACTTGGGAGCACTGATCTCCATCGAGCATCTTTGCTTGAAATTTCGCACGCCAAACGAGATAGGAACGGTGCGTTGCGATAGAAGTGTCGCCCGCGACTGCTACCTGCAAGCCTGTAGGGGGATGGGCAAACGTGGAATGCAAATCCACGAAATCATGGAAAAGCCCCCAAAGAAAGCAATGATACCCCGCCCGGAACCGGCCGTGGAATTGGAAGAAATCAAAATCGACCCTGAACGGCCGGACAGACGGGTCAGAATTAGTGTCGGTCTACCCGGGGAGACTCGTGAGGAGATTATCCTAGTACTCCGAAAGCATCGGCTGGTCTTTGCTTGGGGGCCGGAGGATATGCCAGGTGTCGACAGGTCCATCATCGCCCACCGACTCGCCGTGGATCCGGACCATCGGCCGGTCGTACAGTAAAAGCGGTATCTCGCCAATGACCGAATGGAATTCGTAAAGAAAGAGGTGGGCACGCTACTAGCTGCGGGCCACATCCGAGAGGTTAAATACCCGGAGTGGTTGGCGAACGTGGTCCTCGTACCGAAACCCCCAGCCTGGCAGATGTACGTGGATTACACTGATCTTAACAAAGCCTGCCTGAAGGATCCGTTCCCCTTGCCACGGATTGACCAGCTGGTTGACGAGACGGCGGGGTCGGCCCTGCTGAGCTTCATGGATGCCTTTAGGGGATATCATCAGATTTTCATGCACCCGGCCGACGAGGAAAAAACTGCGTTCCTTACACCAGACGGGGTGTATTGTTACCGAGTTATGCCCTTCGGACTCAAGAATGCTGGGGCCACCTATACTCGGATGGTAGCTCGGCTATTCCAAGACTTACTGGGCAAATCCATGGCGGCCTACGTGGACGACATGTTGGTCAAAAGCAAAGAAGAGGCCAAACACGCGGAGGACCTGGCCGACTGCTTCCAAGTGATGCTAAGATATAATCTCCGGCTGAACCCAAAGAAATGTGCCTTCGCGGTGCAAGGCGGAAAATTCCTAGGATACATGGTGACTAAACGAGGCATCGAGCCCAACCCGGAAAAGGTCCAGGCCATCATCGATATGCAGCCTCCCAGCACCGTCAAAGATTTGCAACGATTGACTGGTCGACTGGCTGCCCTCAGTCGCTTCTTAAGTAAGGCGGCGGATAAAACTATACCATTCTTCGAGGCGATGAAGAAGAAGGAAGGTTTCGCCTGGACGACCGAGTGCCAGCAATCGTTCAAGGAACTAAAGCAGTACCTTTCCACACCTCCGGTGTTGTCCACCCCACGGGAGGGTGAGCCTTTGTTTTTGTACTTGGCCGCCTCCCTCAAGGCGGTGATTTCGGTACTGGTTCGGGAAGAGGAGCGTGCCCAGCACCCGGTCTACTACGTAAGCCGCTCCTTAAAGGCCGCCGAGACACGGTACACAGCCTTGGAGAAGATCGTCTATGCACTAGTAATCATCGTACGCAAGTTAGCACCCTATTTCCAAGCCCATACTGTCCGGGTACTGACCGACCAGCCGCTGGGGAGCGTACTGCGAAACCCAGCGTCGTCAGGACGATTGGTAAAATGGGCCATGGAGTTAACCCAGTACGAGATCGAGTATTAGCCGCGACCATCCATAAAAGGGCAAGCCTTGGCCGATTTCTTGGTCGAATGCACGGCAGGGGAAGAAGAAAAAGAGCACACCATGGAAGACCGTTCAGGCGAGTGGTGGGAAATGCACGCGGACGGAGCGGCGAGTCGACAACACTGTGGAGGCGGAATCATGCTGGTCACTCCAGAGGGGTTCCGACTCTACTACGCCCTGAGCTATTTATTCCCGACGTCTAATAACGAAGCCGAGTATGAGACTGTGTTAGGCGGCCTCCGACTCACCAAGGCCTTGGGAGTAGAACGATTGCGGATCAAAACTGACTCCCGGCTAGTGGTGGGACAGATTTCCGGCACCTGCGAGGCTAAGAACGTCCGGATGACCCAGTATAAGGAGAAGGCGATAGAAATTCTGAAAGAATTCGGAACGTACGAAATAGAGCATATCTCCCGGATGGACAACATCGAGGTCGACATATTATCGAAAATCGCCTTAGAAGGGATACCGGATCACCTCGCCAAGATTTTCCAAAAGGAAGAGTTAAGTCGTCCGAGTATAGAGGAAACACCATTGGAGGTCCAACAGGTAAATGTCGAGGAATGGGATCGAGAGAAAAACCCCGAGATGTTTTGGATAGAAGACATCCGGCAGTTTAAGGAAACAGGCGAATTGCCAGAGGATCCAGGAGTCGCCGCAAGGATTCGACAAAAAGCCCCTTCATTCCGGATCATTGGCGGACAGATGTACAAGCGCTCGTTCGGGGGGCCCCTCTTGAAATGCCTACTCCGGCCCGAAGCCGAAAGGATAATGGATGAGGCGCATCGAGGGATTTGCGCCGCTCATCAGGGGGCCCACACGCTCGCCCGAAAGCTAGTCGTTTAGGGATATTATTGGCCGACCATGATGAGAGATTGCGTGGAATGGATAGCTAAGTGTAACATTTGCCAAGCCTTCGCCTGGAAGGACAGTCGACCGGCCACCTTCTACACGCCGGTCACCACAGCCATCCCTTTTGCTAAATGGGGAATCGATTTGTTAGGACCACTACCGGTCGCCCCAGGAAGCTTGAAGTTTTGTGTAGTGGCCATCGATTACTTCACAAAGTGGGTTGAGGCCGAACCACTAGCCACCATCACCGAGTACCAGTGTCGGCGCTTCTTATGGAAGAAGGTGATTTGCCGCTTCAGCCTGCCCGAGCACGTGGTTAGCGATAACGGCAGACAGTTTGACTGCCAAGCTTTCGCCAACTTCTGTCGCCGGCATAGTATACGACACACTAAGGTATCCGTCGCGTACCCCCAGGCTAACGGGCAAGTCGAGAATGTGAACCGGACCATAGTGGACGGGATTCGGAAGAAGTTGGAGGACATCGGGGGAAATTGGGCGGATGAGCTCGATCGGTTCCTTTGGGCCTACCGAACGACGCAAAGACGGGCGACTAGAGAAAGCCCCTTTTCCCTGGCATATGGCTTCGAAGCCAAGATTCCAGTGGAGGTCGTGGAGCCCACCTACCGGGTACGCAGCTATTCCGACAAAGAGAATGAAGAAAGCCTTAGAATTGAAAAGAACTTCCTGGAAGAAAGAAGGGAGGTGGCGTGCGCCCGGATGGTCGAATACCAACAAGCCGTAAAAAGGTACCGTGATCGGAGGATTCGCCCACGAGCCTTCCAGGTCTTCGACCTCGTGTTGCGGGACCGGCAGACAATCCAGCCCACGGAAGGGGGCAAATTTGCGATTAAGTGGGAAGGACCTTATCGCATTGCATCAGTGGTACAGGCCGGTACCTACAAGCTCGAGACCCTGGAAGGAAAACCCATAGACCGACTCTGGAACGTCGTCCATTTAAAGAAGTTCTACCAATAAAGAGGTTAGGCGTGTACTCGAGTTTTCAAAATCGAATAAAAGGACACCTTCTACCCTCGATCGTTGCCCTCGACTCGGCGAGAAAAGATAGGAAACAAGGGCCCAGACCCTTAGTCGTTTCCGAGAAAAAGCCAAAAGGAGTCGCCTTGACTGAGGGACTCGGCGAGTATATAAAGAAACAACGGGGCACTGACCCTAAATCGTTTCTAAGAAAAGAAAAAGCATACGGAGTCGCCTCGACTGAGGGACTCGGCGAGAAAAGATAGGAAACAAGGGCCCAGACCCTTAGTCGTTTCCGAGAAAAAGCCAGAAGGAATCGCCTCGACTGAGAAACTCGGCGAGTATATAAAGAAACAACGGGGCACTGACCCTAAACCGTTTCTAAGAAAAGAAAAAGCCTAAGGAGTCTCCTCGACTGGGGGACTCGGCGAGAAAAGATAGGAAACAAGGGCCCAGACCCTTAGTCGTTTCGGAGAAAAAGCCTAAAGGAGTCGCCTCGACTAAGGGACTCGGCGAGTATATAAAGAAACAACGGGGCACTGACCCAAAACCGTTTCTAAGAAAAGAAAAAGCCTATGGAGTCGCCTCGACTGAGGGACTCGGCGAGAAAAGAAAGGAACAAGGGCCCAGACCCTTAGTCGTTTCCGAGAAAAAGCCAAAAGGAGTCGCCTTGACTGAGGGACTCGTCG